TTTCATCAGAGACCACTAAGGAGTAAAATTTATTGCTGGTGAAATGGGGAAAGACAGGGCAGTGTGGAGAGAGTCTGATAAACTTCAAAAAATATGGCTTTCCAACCCAGCCAAGGTCTCTGAACTGTACCCTTAACCTTGAGGGGAAACTTCTCTAATCTTAATTCTTGCTATTTTGGGAGATCCTCTCCCATTTCCTACATTTCGTTATTAAATAGTAGAGAGAATATTGGGCCAGGAATCAAGTTATACCTAGTCTTATCTTAGCAATGAATTTGCTGAATGACCATGGACAAATCATTAGACATCTAAAATGGAGGTGATAATTGCTTTACTTCTGGGAGAGGGTGTTAAAACTTGAAAACCAATCTGAAGGTTGGTGAGTAAACAGTACTCTCACTATCCAAATATAAGGTAATATAAAATAATAACGATGCAGGATAATAGAAGGATTTTGAGATTGTTACCTTGAGCAAATTCCTTCACTTCTGAGCATGTTTCCTCATCTGTAAAATGAAGCTATTTTATACCTTACAAGGTTGTTGTGAAGATTAGAGATGTCACACACCAGCGTACTGCTGGACACATGATAGGAATCCAGTATATGGTAACTATTATTAATAACCTGATAACCTGGCTTGGTTGACACTCTTATAACCACACTTGGCAGAACAACAAGCAGACAACACAGATGCATAACAAAAACAATAACCACCACCATCAACCCCCCAGTATGGTCCTCTGAACTCCTCTAAAGGTGACCACTGGCTCCCAAGTACACTTGAAGCCTGCCAAATGCTGTTAGAAAAATGGTGGTGCAGCCAGATGAACCTCCTTTTCTCCTCTGAGACTGGGAGTGCTTTCAGTGAAGGATGGCTGAGTGCAGACTCACTCTGAAATAGCTTTGACTACCAAGTGACAGGAGGAGTGAGCCAAACAAAATGGCAATGGCAGAAAAGGGGACTGAGGGCTGGGAGTAGCTGGGAGGCAATGTGTACTTGCCGACTCTCTGATTTTACTCTACCACTGATTCACTTTATTCCTCCTTTTCTCCATTTAAGAGGCCTCTCAGCAGCGAGGGCTACCCACTAGCTCCTGCTGACATATGGACATCCCTCTTTGCTTGGTTGGTGCCATGAGGAATTCTTACTAGCTGCTAAATGTGAAGGTGGCCCATTATACTCTTGAGCTTGTTGTGTATGCCTCCTGTGCTGCTTTTCTTAGAATAGGTAAGGGATTCATGCACTAGAGAAGGGAAACACAAAGCAGGAAGATTTCTTAGCCCTTTAAGCCATTGAACTGACTTGTTCTGGGACTTCCATGAATCAGCTTGGTCTTTTTACTACTTTTCCAAGCAACTTGGATGAATAATGTGGGTATTATTCATTCAACGGCTATTTATTGAGTTCTATTATGTGCCTGGTATTATTTTAGGTTGTGAACAAGACATACAAGCTCCCTGCCCTTATGGAATTTACATTCTATTGGGGAGAAACATAATTTATGTATAAACGAACAAGCTAAATTAAGGTAGTGATATTTAATGAATTCATAGAATAATGTGATAAAATGAAAGGAGGTGGGAAGATGGCTGTTTGTGTCATCTGGGAAAGAGCCATTAGGCTGAGAAATGAATGATAAGACTGTCATCCTATTTGAAGTCAGGTTCCAGGCAGAAGGACCTGCAAGGCATGTCTGAAGAATAGGAAGTTAGCCAGTGAGAAATGAGACATAGAGAATAAAGGGGAGGGTGTAGCAGATGAAGTTAGAAGATAGGGTCACAAAGTGAGGGCCAATGGATCACATTCAGTCCAGTGTTTGAGATTTCACTAAAAACAGAGACAATCTTGACTTGAAATTTCTCTTAAAATTAAAAAAAAAAAACAAAAAACCTGGCTATGCCAGGCTACTGTTTCTGAATAATGATTGGTTTCAACAAAGAGCAGTTATGCTTTCATGTTCCCTCTTATCCTCCTTTCATGGGAGTGTAGTCATCAGTTCACATGTAGTAGACATTTGAATTAGCAACTGCTGAGCACCAGGTAGGCTTAATAAGGGCCTAATTTCTTTCTTTTTTTTTCCCCCAAGTGTAATGGAAGAATATAATGAAGTTTTAAGTGAGAGTGACTTGAACTAAATTTTTAAAAGATTACTCTGATTACTTTGTTGATTGAAGATTGTCGCTAGGGTGAGGGAAATAGGTAACAGTTAATGCAAGAGATGTTGGTGGCTAGGGCCAGTGGAGACAAAAAAGTAGACAGATTCTGGGCACATTTTAGAGATAGAGCTGCCAGGACTTAACTAATGCATTAGATTTGGGGGCTAAAAAAAGGGAATGAAGGATAACTTCCAGAAGAAAGGTCAGGTCTAGGGATATAAATTCAGAGTCAACAGTATATAGGTGATATTTAAACCCATGGGAATGGATGAGATCACTGAGGGAGGAAAGGTAGAGAGAAAACTGAATGTAGTTTTAGGATTTCTTTTTTCTTGTTTAAATTTAAAGCTTCTAAATTCCTGGTATCACTTAGGCTACCAGACTTTTAGTATTAAAAAGCAATCTAAGGTCACTTATCTAGCCACATGATTGCTACTCATACATTTACTCAAATCCCCCTATACAACATCCAGCCAAGTAGCTAGCCAACTGGTGCAATCAATTAACAGGAAACATACTATTTCAATTAAGACTTGCCATTCTGTTCATTATAAAGTGGTTTTTCCTCATATAAAACTTTTAGGTAGGTGAGCCTGTCTCCAAAAGGAGAGAGTATTGAAGGTGAAAGGAGGCACTATTCATAATTACACTAAGACAACTGGAACTTATCTTGGGCAAACCTTGCAAGCAAAAGTAATAATACTTTAGCCATCTCTCCAGATAGTCAACCAGATGACTTTAAAAATCTTTAAAAGGTGAGACACCAGTTGTCTTATGGTAAAATTAAATATCTGGAGTTAAATTTCAAAATCACCTGCTTGAATTCCCTCAATTTAGAGGAATTATTACCTACAATCAGCTTAGTAAGTTAGTAGCCTGGGGCAGGGGAAGACCAGAAACTACTAGTAGAAATACTTATCACAACTTCATTTTTGAAACCTCTTTTACATGCATGTCATTTGACTCTCACCACACCTTGTGAGGTATCATCACTTTACAGTAGAGTGAACTAAGGTTCAGAGAGATGACTTGCTCAAGATCACTAGCCTTAAAAGGAAGAATGGGAACTTGAACCTGTGCCTTCTGTTTTCTCTTGCTAACTCCCTTGTTACTATTTAAGGTTTTAGGTCTAAATTATATTTTTCCTTGCAATTTTAATTCCACAGTCTCTTATTTTGTTTCCTGATATGGAAAAAAGTAGTCATTACTTCCATCATTAAATGAATTCTTACAAGTTGGGAACATTGATGATATTATTCATGGTCTAATGCCAAAACCTATTTTACTCAGCTCAAAGAGGTATAAAGGAGCTCTCCAATGTGTGGAAGATCAGGAAGGATCCACCAACTCCTATAACTTTACAATGACCTCAGATCCAACAAGGATTCACTTAATTTTGGTCAAAGCCCCATCACTCATGCCCTTGGACAATGGACCCCAACCCCTGAGACCCCAAGTGGCCTATTAGGAACCAGGTCACACACGAGGTGGCGGCAGGGGAGTGAAGTTTCATCTACATTTGCAGCTGCTCCTCAGTGCACAAGGATCACTGCCTCAGTTCTACCACAGATCATTAAGCATTAATTCCCACAGGAACACCAGTCCCTGGTGCTGAAAAGGTTGGGAGCTGCTTTTGGACACCCACACTAAAAAAACCCCAAACCCTTCAATTTCATCTCTCTCTCCTGTTTTTCCTTTACTTCTAGTTACTAAAATGTTAGCTTCTCCTGTGAAATTTTCAATTCTATTCCTTTTCTCTGAATCTATACCTAATCAAAGTCGTCACCTTGTTTTTAAAATCTAGTTTCCCAGTAGTCTACCAGCTTCCTTTTCCTCTATGTTCATTCCATTTTATATACTGCAATTTAAATCATCTCCCATATTTTTTTTGCAGATGTAATTCTTTATTCAAAAACTTCCACTTTTCCCATATTGCCTACAAAAAGAATTCTTTCATCTAGCCTTCAGGGCTTTTCATACCTTAATCTTGGTATTCTCCATAAAACCTGGGCTTTAAGGAAACTAGACTTAATTTACATGAAGCACTTAGAACCCTGCCTAACCTATATAGTAAGAACTCTGTAAGTCTTAACTATTATTATTACTGCTCACTTTTATTTGAATGTGCTATATGCATTTCTATCCCCAGAACACTGTTAATTCCTTTTTTCTATTTGAATATCTCTATTTCCAAAGGGAGAAGGAGTGATTTAAACTATTGGACCAGCACAAGGAAATTGTTACTCCTGGAGAAAACTTATACAGCAGGTCTTTCAATAACATTTTGTTAGTCCTTTCATTATAAGATTGATGAAATGCTGCAGGAATTTAACTCATTTATATCAATTATCTATGGTAAAATTGGTTTCATTATGTCATTCTGCTGCAGTTCTAAGAACCTATCGAGTACACTGAAGACTTTACTTCCTACAATAGACAGAACCTGTAACTCTAAACCCTAATTTGCCACAAAATCTAGTAATAAAAGACTGAATGGAATATAAATAAAAGGTAGTATTTTGTACAATAGACAGTAAACTTATGGAACGTGTTATTTAAAGAAAAAATAAAGCCTGAAATATTAGAAATGGGTTCAAGATTTAGGGCAATGGCTCCTCGAATTTGGTGTAATTAGAATAAATTGGGAAGCTTTCAAAACTAATAGATGCCTGGGCCCCATCCTAGATTTATGAATCTAACAGTAGGGCTCAGAATCAGGAGTTTTAAAAAAACTTCATAGGTCATTCACATGCACCCTTTTGTTTCGTAGGTGACCTTCATGTGCACTTACATCTGAGAAGTGCTGGTTTAATCAAGAGAAACACTGGGTTAAGAAGGCTGGTCATGTTTGGCATGTATTTTTCACCATGTTCTCCTACAGCAAGTTTATGAAACAGAAACAGAATACTCAGAGAACTCATTAGCCCTGAATGAACTATGTATCTACAAGTAGTGTTCTTAAAAACCAAAACCAAAACTCCCTTCTACCTTCTTGAGTTTGACTTAAGGAGTCAGAAAAGATAAATACCACACTTGGTACGCATCTAAAAGCTTGTCTGTTGGTCTTCTATTAATTTACAAATTTCAAGAGTTATTTAAGTAAATATATATTTAACTATGTACAATATTTACGGCTTACAGATTTTCAGACACAAAATTATACATTTAAGTCCGTAAATGTGAAAAAATTGGCCTTTTGGCATATAATAATACTTCAAAAATTTCAAAACGACTTCACCTCAAAAATATTTCACACTACTTTTCTAAAGAGCTATCTTCACAGGCTCGTTGTAACGCAACAACTCAGGTAAGATATCAAACCTCCAGGCATAGAGAAACCGATATTATATTGAGAGACAGCACTTTTTATACAGTCACGGGCGGTGTTAGAAATCTTGGGTCCTCGAAACCCTATAACAAAGCCCCTTTCACCCTCCAATCCTGAGACAACAAATCCTGTAGTTCTCCCTCATCGTCGCTGTCAACATTCTCTTCTTCCTTTTTCTGCAGTTCTTTTATGGTCAGAACCTCTTTAAGTTTATTTTTTATTTCATCCTGGCGATTCCGCAGCTTTTCTACCCGACGGTAACACTCTATTTGCTCATCGATCTCCCCAATCTGCCGGTCCAACCGTCCCTCCTCATCCTCTTCAGCAACTATGGCTTCGGAAATAGTGTTGACCTGTCTCATGGCTTTTTGAAATTCGTCCCATTCTTTGTCCATCTGATCTTTTGGGGCATCAACCTTTCGAACCCTCGCATCTATTTCAGGGTCGTCAAAAAAACCTTCCGGTAATGCTTCCGCGGTGTTTTCTCTCCTTTCCACTACTTTTTCCTGTATTTCCGCTTTCTCAATTGACCCTGAATGAGGAATTAAAGGGGCCTTGGGAGGATTTGTGTTCGAGAAATCGCTTGGCAGCATATTACTTGTTGCCTCCCGGGAAGAGGAAAGCGAGTGTTCCTTGCCTTGTGCGTCGGGCGGCTGCATACTGGCGTCCCTCCCTTTTCTTTCTTCTCCCTCCTCCTCCTCCTCTTCCTCATCTTCATAATCAGGGAGTAAACCGAGTCCGGAAGACTTACCAAGGTTCGCTCTAGTGGACTCCTTTCCCGCTTTGTCAACGTTGGTGGGCAAAGCGGACGTGGAGGGATGTACCTGGGGCACCGGAGAGGCCTTCGCTCTTTTGGCATCGTGGCTATCTGCGTCCGGCGCCTTCCTCTTGGCGGACTGAGGCACTGCGCTGGCAGAAGGCCCCTGGGTGGCTTCCTTCGCGCCTTTCAACTCGGCTACTTTCTCTCGGTGCTGCTTTCCCAGGACATGAGTCGGCCACAGGAGCTCGCTCTTAACCGGAATGTTACACAGGGCACAGCTCAGCTGCCCCAAACGGTTGTACTTCGCAAGTGGAGATTCTATCCGTTTCCGGTTGGTGCTCAGACGCTGCTTCTCTCTCATCAAGCGCCGCAATTCATCCTGACTTACTACTCGCTTCCCAGCCGAAGGCCGAGCGGAGGCGGAGGATGCCATCTTCCCGATATGACCCAAGGCGATTCTGGTTTCCGTCTCGGCGCTGCCTATTGACGTCACTTCCTGTCTGCCCGGGGATTGGCTGAGGCTCCGGAGCGTGGGCCACGGCGCCGGGGTTTCCCTCCGAATAGCGGCTCAGACTGTTTTTGTCGGTTAGGTAGCTCCTTCATCCGTTGGGCTATGGCTGCGATAAAGGTGATAAACTCCAAGGCTGAGGTTGCGCGTGCCCAGGCTGCCTTGGCCGTCAATATATGCGCCGCCCGAGGGCTGCAGGATGTGTTGCGGACCAATTTGGGTCCTAAGGGCACCATGAAAATGTGAGACGGCTGTTGGAGCTGCGGTTAGGGCGCCGGGGGGTTGTTGGGTGTCGGCGATGCGCTTTGAGGCAAACGTTCCGCGAAGGGATTGGAGCGATATAGACAACTTGGTGGGCTTGGTTTCCCCCACTCGCATACCTGCTCTGAGGTTATCTCTAGCCTGATGGGGGAGGAGGAGAAAAGCCTTCCCGAGGAAAAGGTCCCACGAGTGAATCTGGTCTCTTCGCACCCCCAAGTCCGCCCCACCAATTTTCATTAAGGTTCATATGCAATTAGTTAATGTAGTATTTCAAATGAAATGAGCCATCTACATCCCCTGCTATTTAACACTATACATTTCGGTTTTTTTTTTGGTAGCGTGTTATAGTGGAGAAGGTACAGGCTTTGGATCCTGGCTGGCTAGGGTTCAAATCCAAGTTGCCCTCCTAGCTGTGAGTCCTTAAACAAGTCTTTTGGATGCTCTGTGACTATGGTTCTTTACATCTGTCCATCCTTTCCGCGTATATTCATTTAGCGTCATTATTTTCCTCAAGAGAGTGAGAGGAAGAGGCTAGTGAGGGCAAAATGGTGTAAAAGGAGAGTCTCAGAGGAATGAGCAAAATAATAATAGTATAAAAGGGCACTTATGTACTAACAGGGATGCTAGGAACCCAGAGATGACCACTATAGTTTCAGTTCTTGAGATTTCCTAGAAATAAATGTCCTAATTTGTGTGTGTGTGTGTATATACAAATATACACGCACAGTAGAAATAAATGTCCTAATTTGTGTGTGTGTGTGTGTGTGTGTGTGTGTGTGTATATACAAATATACACGCACACATGCACGTAGTTATACTGAGGAAAGGGACTAATTATTGATGGGAGAAGGGAGAAGAAAAACTTCTAAAATAACAGGATTTTTTTTTTTTTTGGTCTTTTCCCAATTAAAATAGTGGAATGATATTTATTTTTTAAAATTTATTTTTCTTTCACAGTTGACATTAGTTTTCAGGTGTGCAACATAGTGATTAGACATTTAGATACTTTATGAAGTGATCACCCTGTTTGGTACCTGTCTGACATCATATATAGTATTATAATATTATTGAGTATATTCTCTATGCTGTACTTTACAACCCTGTGACTATTTTTATAGCTGGCAGGTTGTACTTCTTAATCCCTTTCACCTTTTTCATCCTTCCCTCCAACTCCCCCCCCCCACCCCAATCTGGCAAACTCAATTTATTTTCCAGATCTATGAGTGTGTTTCTGTTTTGTTCGCTTCTCTTTTTAGATTCCACAATAAGTGAAATTATTAGGCATTTGTCTTTGACTTATTTCGCTTAGCATGATATCCTCTAGGTCCATCCATGGTGTTGCAAACTGTAAGATTTCATTTTTTTATGGCTGAATAATGTTCCATCGTATATATGTACCACATCTTCTTTATCCATTCATCTATCGACGAACCGTAGATTGCTTCCATATCTTGGCTGCTGTGCTGCAATGAACATAGTAGTGCATATGTCATATCGAATTAGTGTTCTGGATTTCTTCAGATAAATACTCAGAAGTGGAATTGCTGGGTCACCTGGTAGTTCTATATTTATTTATTTATTCAAATTTATTATTTTTACGGTGACATCGGTTAACGAAATCCAATAAGTTTCAGCTGTACATTTTAACAATAAGGCATATATATTTACATAGTGTGTTCACCTCCCATAGTTAGATTTCTTTCTGTCACCACATATTTGACCCCCTTAACCCCGTCTACCTCTCCCTCCCTGCTACCCTCTGGTATGGTAGTTCTATTTTTAGTTTTTTTTTTGAGGAACTTCCATACTGTTTTCCATAGTGGCTGTGCCAATTTACAGTCCCACCAACAGTGCATGAGGATTCCCTTTTCTCCACATCCTCACCAACACTTGTTTGTTGATTTATTGATGTTAGCTGTTCTGACAGGTGTGAGGTGATATCTCATTGTGATTTTTAGTTTGCATTTCTCTGATGATTAGTGATGCTGAGCATCTGTTCATATGTTATTGGCCATCTATATGTTCTCTGGAGAAATGTCTTTTGAGGTCCTCCATTTTTTAATTAGATTTTTTTTTGGGGGGTGTTAAGTTGTATACGTTCTTTATACATTTTGGATATTAACCCCTTATCAGATGTGTCATCGGGGAGTATCTTCTCCCATTCAGTAGGTTGTATTTTTTGTTTTGTTGATAGTTTCCTTTGCTGTGCAAAACTTTTAGTTTGATGTAGTTCCATTTGTTTTTCGTTTGTTTCCCTTGCCTGAGGAGATATATCCACAAAAATTTTGCTAAGAGCAATTTCAGAGAGTTTACTGCCTATGTTTTCTTCTAGAAGTTTTATGGTTTCAGGTCTTAAATTTAAGGCTTTAATCCATTTTGAATGTATTTTTGTGTACGGTATCAGAAAGTGGTCTAGTTTCATTTTTTTGCACATATCTGTCCAGTTTTCCCAACACGGTTTATCGAAGGGACTGTCTCTACTCCTTTGTATGTTCTTGCCTCTTTCGTCATAGATTCATTGACCATATAGGCATAGGTTTATTTCTGGGCTCTCTATTCTGTTCCATTGATCTATGTGTCTGTTTCAATCCAGTACCATGCTGTTTTGATTACTATAGTCTTATGGTTTAGTTTGATATCAGGTAGCATGGCACCTCCAACTTTTTCCTTGTTTCTCAAGATTGCTTTGGCTGTTTGAGGACTTTTGTGGTTCCATATAAATTTTAGGATTATTTGCTCTAGTTCCGTGAAAAATGCCATTGGTATTTTGATAGAGGTTGTATTAATCTGTAGATTGCTTTGGGTATTATGGACATTTTAATGATGTGACTTCTTATCCATAAGCATGGTATGTGCTTCCATTTATTTGTATTTTCTTCAGTTTCTTTCTTCATTGTCTTATAGTTTTCTGAGTACAGGTCTTTTCCCTCTTTAAATTTGTTCCTAGGTATTTTATCCCTAGGTATTTAATGCAATTGTAAATGGGATTATTTTCTTAATTTCTCTTTCTGATAGTTCATTGTTGGTGTATAAAAATGCAATTGATTTCTGAATATTACTTTTGTGTCTTACTTTACTGACTATCAATTTTTGTTTCTTTTTCTTGTCTGATTGCTATGGCTAGGACTTCCATGGATGATTTTTGATTAGAAGCTTGAAAGGTGTGTTTGAGTTCACCAATTGCCGAAGGGAGTAAAGGTCATCTAGACAGAGTAGGTTCAGGAACAAGATAGCTCAATGGTGTAAATCCAACTGAAACAAAAACAAACATGATGTATTAAGAGAACCACAAGATTTTCCCACAAGATCTCGTTTGGTAGACAGGAAAAATAGACAAAAACCAGACTGGGAGATGTCAACTATGCCCTTCCTAAATAGTTTGGATTTTTCCTTGAAGGTGATGGAGAACATGAAAATCGTTGAAAGATTTTTGGTCAGGGAAATGACTAAGTCACATTGCCTTTTAGAAAGATAGTGTAATATGGAGAGTAGATTTAAATTTAGAGATATCTGAATGCTAATAATCCAGACTACAGGTGATGATGACAGTAGAAATGGAGAGAAGGGAGATTCAAGAGACATTTAGGATATAAAATTGACAGAATTTGATCTAATAAATGTGAGAGATGAGAGAAGAAACTGAGTTGAGTGAATGAATGGTAACATTTCACCAAAATAAAAAACCTGCAGGAAATTCACAAATTTGTGATTTGTAGACTTCCAAGTACTCTTCTTGATCAAACCACTGTTCATAGCTCATCAACTACTCTTAACCTCATAAACACTCCATGCGGAATGGAATTACCATAGCAGTTTATCTTGGGAGAAGTGATTCTGTGGGCTGCGGATGGTGGTAATTACCATGGTATTTCCTCATGGTACAATGGAAGTTTTCCAGGCTCAGTTCCCTATATTAAAGATAGTGGAGTGGCAAGCACTGGAAGTGTCTTGCTTGACTTTTGCCATATGAAATTGGTAACATCACTTTTTTTCTGGACAGGCTTGTTTCTGGTTCAGGTGACATCAAACTCACCAAAGATGGCAATGTATTGCTCCATGAGATGGTGAGTTGATGCTGCTGACTTTAATAAACCTTAATAAGCTTTAACTGAGAACATAGTACAATTTGTATATATTTAAACCAAGGCTGTCAGCTAACTACTGCAGTCATGAGTTATGCTTTTGAATTAAACCTTGCTAAAAAATATTTTTGGGTGTTTTCAAATCTTTGTATAGTCCAGTTAATAGCTTAAGGATGCTTTCAAATTAGTTACATCTTTTAAAGGCCCTGCATTATGTTCTTTATAATCATGGAAAAATAAAAAATCCTGTGCAATTTTAGTAAATATATTCATCTTTGAGATTGAAGGATTTAATCTAAATTTGGAAATGTCATTGCATTAGTTCTCAAACTTCATTAGTTCTCAATTTTTAACTTTTGGTCTTGCCATTTATCAAGTATCAATATAAAACTTGTGAACTTGTAGAATAAAACATTTCATTTCTTAATTTTACTATTGACTCTTAGGTTATCTTGTTTTTGGTGGACTAGTTCTTTATCTCATTCTCTCTCTTATTTAATCTGTTTCTTGCTTTTTCTAGCAAATTCAACACCCAACAGCTTCCTTGATAGCAAAGGTAGCAACAGCCCAGGATGATATTACAGGCGATGGTACTACTTCAAATGTTCTAATTATTGGGGAGTTACTAAAACAAGCTGATCTTTACATTTCTGAGGTATTAGAATTTTATAGAATTCACATTCATATGGTACTTTATTTTGAGTGGAAAGTTGTTTTCTTCCCCTTGAAAAATTTCAGAGGGCAAAGTCAATATTTATCAAGATTTTTTTTGGACAATTATAAATGAAAATAATAATGAACGTTTTTTTTTTGCCAAAATAATGCCTTTTATTGGAATTACATATCTCTTTTTAAAATGAAATATTTATAATATATAACAAGGTAAAAAATTACCAATGTACTCATGATTAATGGCCTAAGAAAGGCAACATCACTGATAAAGTTGAAACCAAATTATAGTTTAAAAAAAATTGGTGAAAAATTAGTGAAGGCTTTTCACAACGTGAATTTACGCACCTTTATAAATCATCTACTCTAGCCACACTCCTTCATTCACTAGCCTCCAAAATCATCACAAACATTTCTATCGCTATGGCTTTGTTCAATCAATATTCTTTCCTTGGCATTACTTATCTGTCTTCTTTAATTAAGTATTTGAAGTTTTCCTCTCTTTCAAGGGCCATTACAGCAAAGCATAACCTGGTCAAAGTGTTAAAATTATTACTTCTTTGTGTTTCATTTAGTATTGGGAATTGTCTATTAATTCAGTACCTGCAACTTATTTTAGTTAGGATGCTTTTGGCTGGAAGCAGTGGAAACTTGACTAAAAGTAATTTAAACAATAAAGAAATTATCTCCCATAACAGAACTTAGAGAGATATGTCAGGCTTCCAGGGCTGGTTGATTAAAAAGATTCAATCAGTTATCAAGTACCCAGATCTCTTAGCTCTTCCACTTACAATGCTGTTTCATCATAAGGCTTATTTCTATTATGACTGTAAGACTGAGGAAATCAGGGCTACCTGCTTCCCTTAGTAACACTCAGTAGGAGAAGGCAAGAGAGAACCATTCACCCAACTATGGAATATAAGTCCTTCCTTTATGTGATTGAGCCAACTTTGGTCTCATGTCCATCCCAAACATAACGGTTTTTAGGGGAATTTACTTAATCTAATCAGGATCCACCCCTTGAGCTAGGGATAGGGTCAGCTTCTTCTGAAACACTGGAAGAAGAGAGATATCTAAATAAAATTAGGGTTGTATCAGGAAGAAAGAAGTTCAGAAAGGGGGAGATACTGACAGATAATGACATAATTATGAAACTGTGGCATTACATCGATAGAGCTAGGCACAGGATATGATGGAAACACTGAGGAGAGAGGTAGTCAGGAAGTACTTCCTGAAGGAAACAAGGCCTGGGCTAAATTTTTAGGATGAGGAGTGAACCGGATGAAAGAATGAGGAGTAAGAAGAATGGCATTTCAGGCAAAAGGAACAACATGAACAAAGGCACAGGGAAGAAAAGAAATGCAGTATGTGTTTAGAGCTACAAGAAATTTTGTGTTGGTGGAGTTTAAAGTGATGTGGACAGTAAATAGGCTGGAGAAGTAGGTAGATGCCAGATCACGGAGGGCACGTTATATACTAACCAAGAAGAATAATTGGTATTAATATACTAATGAGCGATATGGTCATATTGGCATTTTAAATATTTGGGGGACAGTTTTAAGGGAGTCAAGACTGGGAGTTTTTAGAGCAGTTTGGATGAGAAATTGTGAGGTCCTAGACCAAGGAAATGTTTTGAAAATGGTTTGTAACAGGCTCTGGAGTCAGGCTTTAAATCCTGACTCCACCTCTTATTAGGACAGTGATCTAAGGAAAATTACATTATCCTTTTAAGCCTCAATTTCCTCATCCGTGAAACAAGAATAATAAAATCTATTTCATACTGTTGAGAGGACTACAGTAATACATGTAAAGCTCTTTAGAATAGTGCCTGGCACAAATGCTCAAATGTCAACTTTTAGAAATTGTTATAAGATTGATGTAAAGGAATGGAGAAAGGGAATAAATAGACCTAGTTCTAGCTTTATTTTCAGGATAAACAGTACTTTATTATTTTTTTTTAAAAATATTTTTCTCTCTCAGATAAATAAATATATATGTGTATGTGTTTATGTATATGTAGTAATGTCCACATTTTTTTCTGAATGATATAAGAATAAGTTGCAGACATGATGGTCTAAAAATTTATCAGTGTATATTTTTTAAAGTGAAGGGATTATATAATACGGTGTAGTGATCAAAAACAGAAAATTAATATTAACATTCATATATTGATATAGTGCTAATATCTAATCTGAAATTTTATTCATTTTATTCAAATTTTATCACTTGTCTCAACAGTGTCCTTTATAGCAAAAGAAAATCTAGGCTCATGCATTCAGTTGTCATATCTCTTTAGTCTCTTTTAAGCTGGAATAGTTCCTGAACCATCTTTGTGTTTCATGACATTGCTATTTTTAGAGTACAGACCAATTATTTTGTAGAAAATCCCTCAATCTGGATTTGTCTGTTTCCTCATGATTAGACGCAGGTATTGGCAAGAATACTATAGAAGTGCTGTAGCGTTCTTAATGCATCACATCAGGAGGCATATGATGTCTCTGTCTCATTCCTATGATATTAATTTTGAACATTTGGTGGAACTGGTGACTGCCACTTTTCTCCAAATCAGTGCTGTTTCTTTTCCTCTACATTAAAAGGACTCTTGTTTTGTGTCCCCATTCAGAAGGATACCACACAACAGTGTCATAATTTTCAGAAATGTGAAGGATTTTGTAGGTTTTTATACTAGACTTACAATTTTTCTGTAAGTTTGAGATTGTTTGAAATATGAAGCGCTGAAAAATTATGTTATAGATTATATACATACACTTATATTTAGTGGCATTTATGTCATATTACTTTTTTCAGACATACCTATTAATAGGAGAGGATGGTTACTTTTAATTTGGATGAATTACTTTATAACTTATAGTTTAATGTTGTTTAATAGGGCCTGCATCCTAGAATAATAGCTGAAGGATTTGAAGCTGCAAAGAAAAAAGCACTTGAAGTTTTGGAAGAAGTTAAAATTAAAAAAGAAATGAAAAGAGAAATTCTCTTAGACGTGGCTAGAACATCTCTACAAACTAAAGTTCATGCTGAATTGGCTGATGTTTTAACAGAGGTATGTGATTAAACTTTTGCATTCAAGAAAGAGTATAACGTGACACTTTTTCCTATGAGATAGTCAACTATTACATGTGGTTCTTTAGAAAGTAAAATAAAATATGAAAGACAAATATTTATAGGCTTACTTATAGACTAGATTTTATTGATCAGAAAAGTATGTATAAGTTTTCAAAAGTTTCATATTAAGCTTTTTTTTAAGTTAACCTGAAAGTTGGGAGGGGCTTGGCTGCCTGCAGATCATCCTCTGTGGAAGATATTGGGGTGCTATACAGGTCTGTTAAACCTAGAGGTCCATATTTATTATGTGAAGTGACACATGGGGAAGTTGTTTTGGCATCGTGCTTCGTAGTTAAGGTTACTACTTTAATGAAGCATGATTGATTTGATAGATGATACATTTGGGAAATGCATATTTATTTTGTTTACTTCTGAAGGTATAACATATATAATATAAGGGCAAGATTATGTATTTTGGGAAGCCTTTTATCAAGTGGCTATAGTTTGGTGATACCATTGTTTCTTAGCTTTGCAGTTTCTGAAACTCGAATATATTAGTTGATCAGGAATGATGAGTTTATAAACAAATTCACAAGACATTGACATATAAATTGGAATGCTATCTTACTTTGAGAAACAAATACCAAATGTATTGGAACACCTGAGTTATTTCTGGTCCATCCTGCTTACCCATAGGAAAACCTACTTGGGAATTCATATTAAGACAGTTTCTTACTAAGCAGAGTCCAAATAAAGATTCTGCTGTATTTTCTGCTGTTGGAATACGTATATCAAGTGGTGTACAAGCTTCATGCTGTCTGGTTAGGGCCCTCATTCTCTTTTGGAGTTATAAAAACTCTGATACTCTCACTCTTCAGTAGTTTTTGTCCTTATGACCTATTAGGCTCCAAAACCAAATATCATGTTACCTCAAGTAAACTTTTCTAAGATACAGTTTTTTTTTTTTGGTTTATTCATATTTTAGGATGGTTTTACCATAGCACTTAATTTCTGTAGTCAGTTACTTTTATATTACTTTCTGAGTTAAGCACTAGGGTGTCTTGTTCTGTGCTTCTCAAATTGCCTATCCCTGGGAATGTATGGCAGAATAAATGAGACACAGCTTTCTGGAGTGTCAATTTTACTTTATGGTTTGGGGAAAAGCATTATTTTAACATTAAAACAAACATATATGTGTGTGTGTGTGTGTGTGTGTGTGTGTGTGTGTGTGTATAAAATAGCATGACATGGAAACTTTTCATGGTAAACACAAGACAAGAATTTCATATTGTTATAGCCAGCGAATTTGAGCTCTTCTCTTAGATTATATTTCCTTCTTTTCCATTAAGGTGTCCTTTGGTGGAAAAGTTTGAGTAGTGTTGGTATAGTAGAAAGAGCAGTGGCTTGGGAGTCAGAGACTTGAATACTAGTGCTGGCTCTGCTACTATCATTTAGACTTTGTTTTAAGATCGTAACTCTTTAAAGTCTTGTCTTAGTTTTCATAACTGTAAAATTAAGCGTTTGGACATGATGATCTATGAAGTCCCTTTAGGCTCAAAAATATCTGTTGGCATTGGTTATTAGTGTCCATCACAAAGTGGCACTCTTTGGCCTTGTGCTAGAGCCTGAACTCTTTATCCGTTTAGTCTGGTGATAGATTACTTGGGCCAGTGGTTTCTTTTAGTAGACCACTAAAATTTACTCTTCTCATTCACTTCTCTTCTAGGCTGTGGTGGATTCTGTTTTGGCTATTAGAAGACCAGGTTATCCTATTGATCTCTTCATGGTAGAAATCGTGGAGATGAAGCACAAATCAGAAACAGATACAAAGTAAATTATATATATAAACTTTTAGAATATATGTATTCTAGAATATATAGTTATCTTTAGATATTCTTTCTTTAATTTCGTTGGTTACTTTTATTAAACATCAATCTATTCATTTAGCATATATTAATTAGATACTTACTAGAGCCAGTCACTGTTTTAGGTGCTAGGAATGAAAGGTAAACAAAACAGAATTCCTTTCTCCGAGAAGTTTAAATTTCTAGCTGAAGGAGATAGTAAACAAGTAATATTAAATTCTTTGAAGAGGCTAGAGTAACAGTGTGCGAGCATGCATGTGATTTTAGAGTAGCTAAGGAAGATCATTGTGATAAGAAACTAAACTAGAGAGCTAAGGAGGTCTCTGAAGAAATAAGGGAGCTAGCCATGTGAATATCTAGAAGAAGAGTGTTCTAGGTAGAGAGAACAATAGTTGAAGAGGCTCTGAGGCAGAAGTGTGCTGGGGTGTTCCATTGTGCCTGGAATAGACTCAGAGGGAAAAATAGTAAGGTGATGAGGCCAGAAAGATGAGATAGGGAAGACAATTAACATTATCTGAGGATGTATGTGCTCAAAGTCTGTAGCATCTTGTTGATTTTGGACTTAACTCATTTGAAACTTTCTATTAAGGAAAATTCTAAAGATATATTCAAGTAGAGAGAATAGAATAGTGAACTCACATATATTTGTCTTTATGTGAACTCACATATACTCATCTTTATCTACTTGCAGTATATGGCCAATCTTATTGTCTTTTATATATTCCTCTTTCTTCTTCCTTGCCCCAAATCTGGATTATTTTGAAGCAAATCCAGATATCATATTTCATCTGTAAATACTTTCTTATTTATTTTTGATATGTGTGTGTGTATTATTTATAGAAGTTCTGTTTGGTTCCTTCTTAAGTTTGCCATGTCACTATTTATGTTTTCCTATGCCCTACATAGGAAAACAAACTTACCTTTTTATTTTTTTAAACGTGTAGCTCATGTCTGATAACTACAATATTTAAAGTTTTGGCTTGTCTATTAATGGTGTTTATTGTTTTTTGCTGGTTCTCACTCAGCATACTTTGTTCCCATATGTGCCATTCATCATATTTGAAAAGCGTATTTGTAGAAATAATTTGAGACATAGGATGAAGTTGCCTTTCTGCACAAAGGATTTGAATTTGCTGCTGCAAGGAGCCCAGAGACTATTTTAAATTAAATCCAAAGCCTGAAGCTCTTTGGGACTATCTAGTTGTGAATTCTAACTGCTAGTCCATGTGAGGGCTGCTTGCTTCTAGTTCATCCTTCTGGTTTATACTCTTAATTATGTAGCCTTTTGGGGTTCCTGCTTAATGTGAAGAGGACCTTCTATTAGACTTTCTACCTTAGATATCCCTGAACTTTTAATTCTATCCCCCTCTCATTGTGTAGTCATTGAAATAAAAGTTCAGATTTGCCTGAATTGTCATATGACTTTATGATAATAGTGCCTGCAGTTGTCTATTTACCTCTTAGAGTTCTTGTTATCTTTTCAGTTTTGAAAAGAAAATTATTTTGGAGCTCTTTATTATTTTTATAGCTCTCCAGTGTTTTTAAGGTTTCTTTTTTTTAACCTAGCATAGTTTTTGGTAGTATGGTTGGTCCAAATTAGCCTACCATTGCTGAGGACAAGTTCTTGATTTATATTTCAAAAATCTCTCTGTGATTATTGTGTGGGGAATATACCGTGGGTGGGAGGTGCAAGGGCAGAAGTAGGAGACCAGTTAGGAATCTGTTGATATACAGATAAGTAATGAAAATGGTTTAGATCAGGATATAGACAGAGGGAGCAATAGGATTTGTTGTTGATGGTTCAACATAGAACGTGACAGAAACAGAGGAGTCAAAGATGTCTCGGGTTTTTGCATGAGCAGCTGGAGAAGTGGAGGTGCCATTTCCTGCGATGGAGAAGACTGGAAGCAGGTTTGGGGAAATAAATCAAGAGTTTAGTTTGGGGAATGTTATATTTTAGATGCCTATTAGGGATCCATGTGAAAATGTTGAGTAGGGAGTTAGATGTGTCTGGAGTTCAGAATAGTAGTCTGGACTGCAAATATATATTTGGAAGTCATCAGTGTACAGATGACTTAAAGCTATGAGAGTTAATGAGATCGCCTGGGAAGTAAATATAAGTAGAGAAAAGAGGATGTTTAAGGTTTAGGAACAGTGTTTGGAATTGAGAAGAGGAGGAACATTCAGCAAAGGAGACTGAGAAAGAGTGGTCAGTGAGAGAGGAGGAAAGCCAAGAGAGACTAGTGTTCCAGAAACGAAAAGGAGAAAGGATTTCAAGAAGGAAAGAATAATCAGGTATGTCATATGCTGCTGAAAGTTTGAGCAAGTTGTTGTGAACTGAGAATTGACAACTAGATTTGGAAAACATTTAGTTTTTTGGTAGCTTTAATGAAAACTGATTCAGTAAAGAGGTAGGAGTGAAAGTCAGATTGAATAGAGAATGGTTAGAGAAGAAGTGAGGATGCAAATGTAGACAACTCAGAGGAGTTTAGCTAGAAATCAGGCAGTACCAGAAGGGAATATGGGAGGGGGTTGAAGGAAGAGAATCCTTTGTTTTGAAGATGGGAATTATTATGGCAAGTTTGTATCCTGATGAGAATTCTCCTGTAGGCAGAAAGAATTGATGTGGGGAAACGGGACAATGCAGGATCAGAGAGAGGAAGTGGAATACAGTACACGACTGGAGGAGTTATCCTTAGAGAGGAGCATGGACAGTTCATGTGTAGTAATAGGAAGTTCAGGTTTAAGTGTAGGTAGATTGGTGGAGGTAGGAATGGGACAGTGTTTCTTATTTCTCAAAAAAGCAAGGTCCTTTGCTGAGAGTGAGTCAGGGGAAGAGGAAAGGAGACTTGAAGAGTGGAGAATAGTCAATGTATAATTTGTTTCTTTCTAAATAAAATATCTTCACATTAAGTTAGGAGTTGGATTAATGTAGTTAGATTAAAATTTTGAAAACTTTCTTATATTTAACTATTTAAAAAATAATTTGTTTATGAAAGAGTCATAAGTAGAAATGCATTCCCTAATTGGGCATAAATGAATTTTCAAGAGTTATAAAAATATTTACTCTTAAAAGAACATTTGGAAAACAGGAAAAAAGACTGCCCCCCATTATCTGTATTCCTGACCATCCAAGTGTAACCCCATTCTTCGTTTCCTTCCATTTTTTTCTTTTCAATGCCAAGGTACTTATTTTTAAAAAGAATAGTTATATTTTATATGCAATTTGTCATTCTGTTCTTATCAGCTACCCCTGTAAATATTTTTTCATGTTATTAAATAGTTGTCATGACTGTGAAATAGTTGGGTGATTATTTTTTGGACAATGCCCTATCGTTGGACATTTAGGTTAGCAATTTTTAGTCGTTCTATATAATTATTTTGAACAGATATTTCTAAGAAACTAATTGTGTGCTTATCTTTCATTACTTGATCAGCCGTGTTGTATGTTTGAGCAACAAAATTTAGAGAATAATTTTAGGTTGACATTTCACTGTGACTTAATCACAATGTGTTAAAGTAGATTCTCTTTTCTAATTTGACTAATTATGTGTTAGGGTCAAAGTTGATACAAGGAAACAGTGTGTGCTCTGGCAATTCTGTTACAACTTTAAGAGTATAATTCTAATTTTATACCAATAGAGTGTATATTCAAAGTAAGAAACATTACATGTTTTTAATAGATTGATCAGAGGATTGGTTTTGGATCATGGCGCTCGTCATCCAGATATGAAGAAGCGAGTAGAAGATGTATTTATCCTTACTTGCAATGTATCACTAGAATATGAAAAAACGTATGTATATCGTTTACTCTTTATAACCTTTAAAATTATTTTTTCTAAAAGTTTTTTAAATCTCTTTCTTCCTTCCTAAATGTTTAGTGTAAACTCGCTACCTTTTCCTCTACCTCCATTGCCTTTACTAGCTTGTTTTTATTAATCTTTTAGAGAGGTGAGCTCTGGTTTCTTTTATAAGACTGCAAAAGAAAAAGAAAAATTGGTAAAAGCTGAAAGAAAATTTATTGAAGATAGAGTACAAAAAATAATAGACCTGAAAGACAAAGTCTGTGCTCAGTCCAACAAAGGATTTGTTGTCATTAATCAAAAGGTGAGAAAGAAAGCTTATATTTTAACTATTTGTAAATGTTTCAGTGTTTCTCAAAGTATGGTCTGAGAACCCGTAGGAGTCCCTAAGACCATTTTAGGGAGTTCATGAGGTCAAAACTATTTTCATAATATTAATAATAATGCCTTTTATGTTGTGTTGAAATTTGCAATGGTGATGCAAAAGCAATGATAGATAAAACTGCTGATGCCTTAGTAAAATCAAAGCAATAGCAACAAATTATGCTGGTAGTCATCATATTCTTTATTGCCACTCTACCACACACTGGCAGTTAATAAAAAACGCAGTTTTGTTTAAGACTGTCTTGATGAATTGGTAAAATTTATTAATTTTATTAAATTTTGATCCTTAAATATATATCCTTTTGTAAAATGTGAACTATGCACAAAGCACTTCTGTGTCATGTCAAAAGAAATGCCTTAAAAAACACTTAATTTAATATCTCGAAGGAAAGCTCTTGTATAATTGAGTTGCAAGCTAAACTAGTTACTTTTTTCATAGACTGCCAGTTTTGCTTGAAGAATGACTGACAAAGTATCTTTACTTAGACATGGGTATTTGGTAGATTTTTCTCAAAAACGAATGCAGCAGTCTTGTCATTTGAAGGAAAACAACTGACGATATTTGTTGCCAGTGATAACATTTGAGCCTTCAAACAAAAATTAGAAAATTTGGAAAACTTGTATCTGCCACCATGAGTCTGACAGCTTTCCAAAATGTAAAATACTTTCTGATAATATTAACGATGATATTAGCAAAGGTGATATTTTTGATATTACATAACTATGATATGTGTCAACATTTGGAAGCTCTGCCTAACTTAGTGAACCAACATTCTCTGACTAAAAATTCATTATTTAACAAAATTATGCATGAGTAAATAATCAATTCAAAGTACAAGACAGACAAATGGATTTTAATGTGAGAGAGTATGGAAAGTTCATTGATATGGTTATATATTTTACATTGAAACTACTTGTTTAGTTTTGGTATAGTATCAAAGAATAATATCCACATTTATCTGAAAAGGCTATTAAAATATTCCTCCCTTTCTCAATACATATCTCTGTGAGACCAGGTTTTCTTTTTATACTTTAATCAAAACAACATATTGCACCAAATTGAATGCAGAAGCAGATATGAGAATTCAGCTCTCATAAGACAGACATTAAAAAGATTTGCAAAGATATAAAACAGTACCATTACTCTCACTATATATAATTTTTGGTTTAGGAAACTATAGTAAATTTTCATTAAAAAATGTTATTTATGTTAATGTAAAATGGGTTTATTGTTATATTAAATGGATTAATACTTTAAAGTTTTTTCAATTTATAATATGGTAACTATTATAGATACAGCTCACATGAACAAAAACTTTGGGTGCTTAACAATTTTTAAGAGTATAAAGCGTTGCTGAGATCAAAAAGTTTTAGAACTATTGGCTTAAAACATGCTTGTAACTTTTGTGCTAATTTGATTATAGGGAATTGATCCATTTTCCTTAGATGTGCTTGCAAAACATGGTATAGTAGCTCTTCGCAGAGCAAAAAGAAGAAATATGGAAAGGTAAGCTTGCAGATAATTATATATCCTAAGTTTATTAACAGATTGAATTGAAATTATCCCATGCGTATTCCTTTTAGCTTACATATAAACACTGTGAGCAAAACAGCAGCATACAAGTTCCGAATTTTGTTTTTAATTTCAATAAATAATGGAGCTGTCAAAAGTCAAGATTGTTAACCAACCTCAGAACTTTGTTCTCACTTTCCTGAAACAGATTTTAAAAACAATGCGATACAGTGACAATGCAGTCTTTGTGTTAGATATCTTTTCACCTTTAAGAAATTAGTCTTTATGTTTTCCATAGCCAAAGCTATGTTGACATATATGTAATTTCAGACTCTCTCTTGCTTGTGGAGGAATGGCTGTGAATTCTCTTGAAGATCTCAATATAGATTGCTTGGGACATGCTGGTCTTGTACATGAGTATACATTAGTGAGTATTTCTGGGGGAAATAGTTGTAAAGTGAACAGTAAACCCTTTTTTTTTTTTTAATACTAAACCTTTTAATTCAGGTTTTACATTTTGAGGTCTGAATAATTCACAAGATAGATTTTACAATTTATTTACCTAAATATTTTTTAAGAGTTTAAATAGAATTTAACTGATTTTAACATATATTTAGTTATACATGACAAAAAAATTCACATGAAGATTGGATTCTATTATTATAAACTAAAAGTCTTGATTTCATAATGACATTGCTTATTAAAGTCATATCTTCTTGTATTATCCTTTAGGGTGAAGAAAAGTTCACTTTTATTGAGGACTGTATTAACCCTCGCTCTGTCACCTTACTGGTGAAGGGACCAAATAAGCATACTCTCACACAAATCAAGGATGCTGTAAGGGATGGACTTCGTGCCATCAAAAATGCCATTGAAGATGGTAAGCTCTTTTTTTGTGATGGATATGATCCTCTTGTATTTTTAAAGTGGTGATAAATCTATCATGGCATATATAATATTTTAAAAATAAGAGTTATGACTATTCTCTCATTTCACTTTGGACAGTTTATAGTTTGGATTGTGAAAGTTTTTCCTGGAATAGCTTAATGGTTTGCTGACCTTTTATTTATCTTATGTTTATGAAATAAAAATGCACTTAATTTAATGCTGTCGTATTATTTTTTATTTTTAAAACCATGAAAAAACTTTCATATCTTATAACTCATTTCATTACCTCAGGTGTAGTGCAATTTAAAGAAATATTAGGAAAAAATATTAGCATTTATTATTTATCGATAATTTATAATGAGCTAAAAGGAGTTAGGATAGATAATAAAAACATTTTTAAAATAGAATAATCACACGAAAGGATGCTTAACATCATTAGTCATTAGGAAAATGAAAATCTAAACCACAAAGAGATACCATTTCACATTAAGATAGCTATAGTCAAAAAGCTGGAGAATAGTAAACGTTGTCAAAGATGTGGAAAACATACCATTGGAAAACACGCAGTTCCTCAGAAAGTTAAACATAGTTGGTTAATGTATGACCCAGCAGATAACTCTTAGGTATATATACACAAGAGAGTTGAAAACATATGTCCACACAAAAAGCTTGTGTACAAATGTTTACAGAAGCATTATTCATGATAGCTAAACAATGGAATCAATCCAAATATTCATTAGCTAATGAATGGATAAATAAAATGTGATATATCCATACAATAGAGTATTATTTGACTACAAAAAGGAATAAATACTGATGTATGAGACAACACAGTTGACCTTGAAAATGTTATGCTAAGTGAAAGAACTCAGACATAGAAGGCCATGTATTATGTGATTCCATTTATATGAAATATCCAGGAAAGGTTGCCAGAGGCTGGGAGAGGTGGAAGTGGGGAATGATTGCTAATGAGTACAAGTTTTTTTTTCTTTTAAATGTTCTAGAATTAAATAGGGATGATGGTTGTAGAAGCATGTGACTATACTAAAAACTACTGAAAATATACTTTAAAAGGCTGCATGTGAATTATATTTCAAAAAAATAGAGTAATAAACTTTATAAATAATAGGTCAGATGTATCTGATAAGCAAAAATGTAGATGTGAAATAATGATAAAATAAAAGCTGAAATTGAAAATTAGATCGTAGGAAAAAAGAATATAAATACTGTATAGCAAATATAATAGTCATTATACATATTTAAGCTGTCAGAATATAAAGAGATACAATCAATTATATAGGTTTTATTATTGAAAAGGAGAATACACATCAGTTCCTAAGTTGAAAAATATGGGGCTTTCTATAAGAATCACTGCCTCTTTTTTTTTTTGAGTCACTTTTAATAAAAGCTAGCAGCATTTTTTTTTTTTTAACAACATAAACATACATCTTGTTTAGGAATGTAGCCTTTGGTAGTTCAACCTGATACTTAGAATTTAGAATACATAGAAAATACTACTTTTTTAAATCCCTTAAACTTTGTTTTTTAAAAAATAATTTATCGAGGTATAATTGACACATATTTAAAGTGTACAACCATGAAACTATCCCCTTAATCAAGATAATGAACATATCTATCACTCCAAAAAGTTACCTTATTGCTTATTGGCAATCTTTCCTTCCTGTCTCTCTCAGTCACCCTAGATTCAGGCAACCACCAGTCTACTTTCTGTTGCTATAGATTAATTTTCATTTTCTATTTTATATGAATAGAATAATGCAGTATGTACCTTTTTTGGTTTGGTTTCTTTTACTCAGAAAAAAAATAAATTAATTGATGTTATACTTATTAGTCATTCATTCCATTTTATTGCTAAATAGTATTTTACTGTATGAATATACTACATTTGTTTACCAATTCACCTGTTGATGGACATTTGGTTATTTACAGTTTTTGGCTATTACAAATAAAGCTGCTATATAGACTTATGCTCTCATTTCTTTTGGGTAAATGCCTAGGGATTCAATGGCTATGGAATGTATGTGCTTAACTTTTTAGAAACTGTCAAACTGTTTGCCAAGTACCATTTTATATTCCCATCAGTAGTGTATGAGTGTTCCAGTTGTTCTGCATCTTCTCCCATACTTGATATTGTCAGTTGTTTTAATTTTAGCCATTCTAAAATTTGAAAAACCATACTGTGGTTTTTAATTTGCAATTTTCTAGTGATCATTGATGTTGAACTTCTTTGCGTGTGCTTGTTTGCTATTCACATACCTTTGGCGAGGTTTCTGTTCAAATCTTTTGCCCTTTTAAAAAATTGAGTTGTTTTCTTATTGTTGAGTTTGAGAGTTCTTTTTATATTCTAGATACAGTATTTTTTCAGATATACAATCTGCAAATATTTTCTCCTCTGTGGCTTGTTTGGTTATTCTTTTAGCAGTGTCTTTCAAAGAGAAGTTCTTAATTTTGATGAAGTCTAATTTACCAATATTTTCTATCATAGATTATGCTTTTGGTGTGGTATCTAAGAAATCTTTACTTAGCCCTGGGTTCACAAAGATTTTCTTCTGTGTTTCTTTTAGAAGTATTATAGTCTTAGGTTTTACATTTAGTCTAAGATTCATTTAAACTTAACTTTTGTATTTGGTGCAAAGTATGGACCTAAGTTGTTGTTGTTGTTGTTTTTTTTTTGCATGTAGGTATCAAATTGTTCCAGCTCTATTTGTTAAAAAGACTGTCCTTTCACTAAGTTACCTTTGTATCTTTGTCGAAAATCAGTTGTCTGTATTTGTGTGGTTCTATTTCTAGGTTCTTTATTTCGTTCCATTAATCTGTTTGTCTATCTCATTGTTAATATCACTATCTTGATTATTGTAACTTTATAGGTCTTGAAATCAGTAATGTTAATCCTTCCATTTTGTTCTTTTTCAAGTTTTTTTGGTTATTTTAAGTCCTTTACATTTCCATACGAATTTTAGAATCGGCCAGTTTCTACCAAAAACACGGCTGGGATTTTGATTGGAATTTCACTGAATTTATAGATCGGTTTGGGAATTATTGAAATCTTAACAATATTGAGTCATGGTGTATCTTTATTTGGGTCTTCTTGAATCTATTTCAGCAGTATTTTGTAAGTTTTAGTATGTTTGTTTTGCACATCTTTTTTTTCCCTCAGATTTATCCTTTGTATTTTATGTATTTTTATCCTATCATACATGATATTTAAAAAATTTCCATTTCTGATTATTAGTTGTTAATATATAGAAATAATTGATTTTTACATATTTTTCCTATATGGCATGTTTTATCAATCTTTTTTTTCCTCTCCACTAGGTTGTGTGGTTCCAGGAGCTGGTGCAGTTGAAGTGGCAATAGCTGAAGCTCTTGGTACGTACAAGCACAGTATAAAAGGAAGAGCTCGTCTTGGAGTTCAAGCTTTTGCTGATGCCTTACTCATTATTCCTAAGGTACAACTATTCCACTAGCCAAAGAACAATAGATTCAACATAAGGTGTTTAATTATAAATTGCCTATATTATCTAACAACAGAGTACAAGTATTTGCATTTCCTCAAACAATTTTGTCTAAGATATTTTACAGCTATAGCGAGAAACTTTGGGGATAACGGCTCAGAATCCTTATAGGAATTTAATGTAATAGCCAGATTAGCCCCTCGCTTTATTCTCTGAGTTTTAAAAGTTGAAGTAACTCCAAAAATTTCCTTCAAAAATGCTTCATGATTAACTAATCATAATGATAAAGTTTAGAACTTACATTTAATTAGATTTTAAGGTAGACCTTTATTTTGTTGGTGATATCCAAAGTATTATCACTTTAAATTGTGGAAAGTAAGAACTTCAGGCTGTCTAGCATTCTCAAATGCTAGTTTGCATTCCATTGTCATTAGAATTTCCAGAAAAGGAGAGAAACCAGATTTTTTCCACGTATCAACAGAAGGACAGAGAACTACCATTCTCTTTCCTTTGCCTTAATCTGGTTTTGAACCACTTAGAAGCACAGAAAAACTGTTTCAAATATGCTATTACCACAAATTAAAACATTACTAACAATGCTAGCAAAGTCTCTTTGATAATTGCTTTTAAAATTATTCATAACTTATAGAATCTTTGTGAATCAGAAATCTATTATTTTCTTTCCCAAAGCAGCAGTTAGTAAGAAATGATCCTGTAGTTGACACAAATTAGTGAGCCCAGTATGTATTTTTTGATACTTTTTTACTCATCAGCTGTTGGTTTGGGACCACTTGGAATTATACCTGAGTTGGAGTGCAGGTATCTTTATCCCTGTTACCACAGGTCGTGACTCTCCTCATGTTGATGAGGTGCACAAAGATGCTGCAAATATGCAAGTTTCCTTTTGCAGGTGCCCGGGAAAAACTAGAAGATGTGTGGCTAGAAGAGCTAGAGGAAATACGAATACCAATCTACTTCTTTCCATGTTTATTGTTTTTAAAATCTTTTGCAAGAAGGGAAAGTAATCTAGCGGGGTGAGGACTCTTAATGTCCTCAGAATTTATTGTGATGTGCATAGGGAAAATGTTTAAGTAAATATAAAAAATACTAGATACACAAAATAATTTTATTTAGATCAAGTGTGAAATTCTTCAAAAAGAGATGATTATTATGGATATGTTTTCACAAGACTAGAGAATAGTGCCTTATATTTTACATTTAATATTCAAATATATATGTGACGGTATTCCACATATATATTTATTATTGTTTTTATTTCTAAAGGTTCTTGCTCAAAATTCTGGTTATGACCTACAGGATACACTGGTAAAAGTTCAGACTGAGCATTCAGAATCAAAACAACCTGTTGGCATAGATTTGAATACAGGTAAGAAAGTAAAGAAAAATTAGCAGCTTAATAAAAAAAGTGATTATGCTATAGTGACCCAGAACTTAAAGGGTAGAGGTTTGAGTGACTTTAATATTTAAATTTTGGGTACCTTTAGTTTACTTTTGAACTTCTTAAATGACAGTATTAATTCATTTAAGAAATAGCCATTGAGTGCTTGTTGTTTGACTCTTGGAATTCACATAGAGCAAAACAGACAAAAATTTCTTCCCTTGTGAGCTTATGTTGTAGTGGGAAAGGTTAGGCAGTAAAAGTAATAAATTCTATGAAGGAATAAAAGAACAGTAAGGATGATTGTGTGCATGTTTGCATAGTAGGGTGGGGAAGGGATTTCAATTTAAACAATAGTTGGGATAGGCCTCATTGAGAATATGTCTATTGAAAAAAAATCAAAGGAAGTGTGAAAGTTAACCATGTGGGGTACTGGAGAAAGTATCCTAGGCAGAGGGAACGGCCAGTAGATAAACCACATCTGATATTTTTCGGGAGAAGGAAGGAAGTGAGAGAGATAATAGAAGGTCCGATCATGCAGGAGCATATGTACCAATCTAAGGAGTTTGACTTTTATTATAGTGGAATAGGGATCAATTTTGAGCAGAGGTGTGACATGGTCTAATTATGTTTAAAAGGATCACTGGTTATTCTGTGGAGATGAGTTAACTGAACAACTGGGAGGTTGGAATTCCCATTAACTGCATTGGAGATGATTGTGGGAAAAGTAGTTGTGGTGATAGGGAGATCAGTACTGAGTTTTGGCACAGTTAAGTTTGAAGTATCTGTAGACTTTCAAGTAAAATAGATAGTTGGATATATGAGTCCGGAGCTCAAGAACGAGGCCTGAGTTGGAGATAAAAAAAGTCAGAGTCATCAGATTGTTTACAGTTTAAATCCAGAAGACTGAATGAGATCACCTAGAGAATGAGTGTAGAGAGAGAAAAGAAGAATCCAGGACTGAGCCTTTAGTACTTCAACAGTAAGAGCTCAGGGAAGAAGAGGAAGAACCAGCAAAGTAGACAGAAGAAGAGCCACTAGTGCAAAAGTAACAACCAGGTGAGCATGGTGTCCTGGAAGACAAGTGAAGAAAGAGTGGTCAGGGAGACGAGGAAGAAATGGCATAGATGCTAGAGGCTTTGTTCATCCCTCTTGCAACCAAATCAAAGTTGTGACAGAAACACAGAGCAAACAGCAAGGAAAGTTGCTGGGGATCTAGACGAGCAGAAGCACTACAACTAGGGAGAGAAATAATTAATCACCCTGCAACTGTAGAAGGTAGGAGGGGGCGAAGATGTGAGGCTGCTCGGTCCTAAATGGCTGAGTGGGACAGAGGCTACCGCAGTGGCAGCCAGCAGCTGCAGACACCCCTTAAAGGGGCTGTGTCCGTGAGTAGACTTTCACGGTGACAGATCTGCTTGCTTTGAGCACCAGCGCCTGGTCAGCTGCTCAAGGGACACCAGGGACTTATAGGGGGAGACTGAGTTGTCGGAGTGTGGGCCAGAGGCAAGGTTTTCTCCTGGGCAGAAGTGCTGGTGGTATATCCATTGCTCCTCTGTTGAGCCTTCCCCCTTCCCAGTGTGCAGACACAGTGTGGCCATAGCTGAGATATCACCAAACTGGATAAGAGGTTGCTCTGCCCAGAGGATTCCCTGAAACTCTGCCTTCCCCAACTCACGGCCCCACCCAAGCTACAGCCAATTGTATCCTCAGTGAGTCTGGTGCTCCTTGCTGAGCAGTGTCAAGCTCACACTGGTGGCAGCTGGCCTCGGTTTCTGGTATGGTTTCTTGAGGCAACTCTAAGCATAGCATCTGTGGATTGCTTGCTGAATCTTAATGGGTGGCCCCAAAGGGGCACAGGGTGAGGCTAAACTTGGCCTGCATCTGAACCCCTCTCATGACTGTGCCACTGGACACCTACTACACAGAGCCACTCTAATAAGACCAAGAGACTTAGGAGCTTTGCTTAATCATAGAAACAGACACAAGAAGGCAGCCAAAATGGGAAGACAAAAATGCAGAAAGCATATGAGAGAACAGAACAGAGATCTAGGAATAATGGAGTCAAGCAGTCTAACATAACAGATGCAGAGTTCAAAACACTGGTTATAAAGATGCTCAATGAACTTAGGGGAGTATAGATGGATTCATCTATGTGAGAACTTTAACAAAGAGATAAAAAACATAAAAATGGAAATGGAAATTATCAAAAGGAACCAGTCAGAAATGAAGAACACATTATCTGAGATGAAAAATATATTAAATATAATAAACAGAATGAATAAAGAAGAAGTTTGAATGACCTACATAGAGGATGGGGAAGCCAAGGACACTTAAACAGAATGGCAGGAAAAAAGAAGCCAAGATTATCATAATAATTTAAGGAGCCTATGGGACACTATTAAATGTAAAAATATTCATGTCATACGGGTACCAGAAGGAAAAAAAGATGTTGAAGAGCTATTTGAAGGAATATTGATGGAAAACTTCCCTCACCTAGTGAAGGAAATAGGCATAAAACCCCAGGAAGCTCAGAGAGTCCCAAAAACCAGGAACCCAAAGAGGCCCACACCAAGACACATCATATTTAAAATGCCAAAGGTTAAATACAAAGAATCTTAAAAGCGGCAGGAGAAAAACAGTTACCTATAAGGGAGCACCCATAAGACTGGCAGCTGATTTCACAAAAGAAACCATGAAGTACAGAAGGGCTTGGCACAAAATATTTGACATGATGAAAACCCAGGATCTACAACCAAGAATACTTTATCCAGCGAAGCTATCATTTAGAGTCGAGGGACAGATAAAGAGCTTCCCAGACAAAAATAAGCTAAGGGAATTTATCAGCACTAAGTATTACAGTATTATAGGAAATGTTTGAGGGTCGTCTTTAAGAAGAAAAAAATGTGTATCAAAAACGAGAATAACGAATGATAATCACTACATTCCTATCAACAACTACCTCAAATGGAAAAGAATTAAGTGCTCTAACCAAAAGATAGAGTGGCTGAATGGATAAGAAAACAAGACCCCTACATATGTTACCTACAAGAGACTCACTTCAGATTAAAAGACACAGACTAAAAGGAAGGGGATGGAAAAAGATTTTACTTTGATAGACCTAGAGGGTATTGTGTTGAATGAAGTGGATCAGATATAGAAAGAAATATCAATTTCACATACATGTGGAATATAAAGAACAAAATAAACAACAATAACAAAATCAGAAATAAACTCATAGATACAGAGAATATTTAGAGGGCTACTAGAAGGGAATGAGGTTGGGGGATGGCAAAAAAAGGCAAAGGGATTAAGAGGTACCAATGGATAGTTACAGAATAGACATGGAGATGTAGCCTGTAGCATGGAGAAGATGGGTATTAATGTTCTAATAAATATGTAAGGGGGAAGAGGGTTACTAGATTTAGTGAGGTGATCGCTTTGTGAATTATGTGGATCTCTGATCACTATGCTGTACAACTGAAACTGGTATATTATTGTATGCCAACTATAATTGAAAAAAAAACTCATCGTACAATGTAAATACGAGCAACTAATTGTCTATTATATTTCAGTAAAACCAAAAAAAAAAAAAAAAAAAAGTGGTCGGAAGGGTATGATCAGCTGTGTTAAGTGCTACTGATAGATGAGGCCTGAGAATCTACCATTGAATTTGACAACATGGAGGTCATTGGTGACCGTGACAATACTAGTTTGGTGGTATATTAAATGTTGTTAGAATATACCACCAATATTAACAGGATATATGAAGACTGTAGTATTAAAATAGTTTATTTTTACTTTGCAGGTGAGCCAATGGTAGCAGCAGATGCAGGAATTTGGGATAATTATTGTGTGAAAAAACAACTTCTTCATTCTTGGTAAGTTTGTATTAATAAAAAGACTTTTAAGGACATATTTGATAACATTAAAAATTTTTTCTATTATTTTTGCCACTTTACAGTGGAAAAATGGTTGAGTGTATGAAAAGAACATGGTATCCAGTTATTAAGACTAACATATCCTTTTACATTCCTTTTAACATTTTAATTCTAACAGTGTAAGTTATAGGAAATGTTAATCTTACTATTATTTATTTGAGGAGGGAAAGAAGGAACTTTACTGAAATAGTACCATATGCATAGTGGGAAAAATCAAATGATGTGCTAAAAATGAGGTCAGTTTTGCTGGAATATACAATCAGCTTCCACTTTATCAGCGAAGGAATTGAAATAATAATACAAGGGTAATGTTTGTACTTAGAATAGCTTTGTTTCATAAAATCTCACACCAACATCATTGAAGAACAAGGTACCTTTAGTAGCTAAAGGTTGCTTAGGAGGAAAAGATAAGAGTGAGTTGTTTGGCTTTACTCATCCTGTCATCTTTTTCCTCAGCACAGTGATTGCCACGAACATTCTCCTGGTTGATGAAATCATGCGAGCTGGTATGTCTTCTCTCAAAGGGTGACTGAGTTCAAAACCACCTCTTCTAGCAGCTGAAATTTAACACATCTTATATCCAACTACCATTATATAGCCTGAGCCATTCTTAATTTTTACATAATAAATGCAATTTATATTTGTTGGCCTCAGCAGTCTCAGAAATATTTCATAAAGGCATAAAGAACACAAATATTTTGACAGTAAAGGAATAATAATGAAAATATTTTTCCCTAAGAGTTCTCCACCCTTTATTGTATGTGTGATATTGTGATATAATAAGAGATATATATTTGATCTTCATCACTAGTTCCTAGCACAAGTGCTTCTAAAACCTTTGTAGTTTCCTGAGTGATAGGGGTGATAGGAGCATTTTTTCTTGTAACAGTTGGTCTTAGTTCTCAATTCCTGACGTAAGAGCTTCTAAGACCCTTGGAATCTCTGGAAATAATAAAAATGTCTTTTTGTATGCTAATGAGCTGACTCTTGATGGGGGCTAGAACTTTCAGCTTCCCGCCATCCCCTAAATCTCCAGTGAAGGGAGAAGGACTGGAGATTGAGTTAACTAATCAATTATGCTTATATGATGAAGCCTCCATAAAAAATTCCTAGACTATGGAGTTTAGAGAGTTTCCAGGTTGATGACCACATCCATGTGCCAGGAGAGTGGTGTGCTCCAATCTGGGGACAGAAGCTCCTGTGCTCAGGACCCTTGTGGACCTCTTTCTATGTACCTCTTCATCTGGCTGTTCATCTTTATCCTTTTTAATAAAGGATAAACAGGTAATGTAAGTTGTTTTCCTGAGTTCTGTGAGCTATTACAGCAAATTATCTAACATGAGGGGAGGGGTTATAGGAACCCCTTATTTGTAGCCAAGTCGGACAGAAGTGTGGGTAACATAGAGACCCACTGCTTTTAATTGTTATCTGAAGTGGGGGGCAGTCTTTGGGGACTGAGCCCTTAATCTGTGGGGTCTATGCTAACTCTAGGTAGTTACCATCAGACTTGAATTGTAGGACACGCAGTTGGTATCTGGAGAGTTGGAAGATCAGTTGGTGTGGGAAAACCCCCACATATTTGGTGCTGTGTGTAGGAAAAAGTTTTCCTTTAGTATTCTATTGAATCTATTATAATTCTTAGACCTTTTAATGAACAAAATATGGAGCACAGGTTTTAGAGCACCTAAGTCAATTTCTAATTTATCAGAGGGTATAAATGTAACAGGACAAAATGTTTTATTCTCTCTCCGAATTCCGTTAGTAACTTCGTGCTGCCACTCTTTC